GGCCTTGTCCTCCGAGGGCCGGCTGGTGGCGGGGATCTCGCGCTTCTTGGGAGGCAGGCATTCGTTGCTGCGCTCTTGGTTGGATTTCATTTTTCGCCGTCCCCCCTCCACGGTGACTGTTTCACTGTCTGGCGGGCTCTGGTTTTAGTCTGATAAACGGAAAGTCACATTTGATTTCGGTAGGGGATCCAGGCTCTTCATGAGGAATCATCTCCCCGCGGGTGCGATCCGCCAGCAGCCTCTCTGGAATCTAGGAAAATGAAAGGATGGGGACAAGGGGAAGAAGGGAGAGGGAATCAGAACTTGAGCACCGGAAAAGACCGCCCTGCGCGACGGTAACACTAGGCTTCTGATTTCAGTGGGAATTCCAAACACCCTCCATGAGCCCCAGTGTCAGAGCAGGGCAAAGGCTGGCCGTGTTGGATAGCACATCGGGAAGATTATGAAGACACGGAGCAAGCTGAAACCTTTGGATGGATTTGGCAACTCTCCTAAGACATCTCTCTCAATACCCTCTCTTCTTCTTCTTCTTCTTCTTTTTTTTCTCTTTTCTTTTTAGAGGGCAGATAGAGAAGTTTCTTAGTTTCCCTTGCAGAAGTGCTGGTCCCACTCCTCATCTCTTTGCTACCTCACTGAACAATTAAAAGGTAGCCCACAAGGAGGATGAGGACCAGTGAAGGCCTGCAGGACCTGCCCTCTAAGCCGGGCACTGGGAGGACAAAGTTAGGAACCGGGGACTCCTGTGTTATCTATGGTTCCTCCTCTACCACCAGCACTACTTAAAGATTCCTCTGACTCTGGGTCCATTCCTGAATCTACCTGGAATCTCTCTTCCCCAACACACACACAGGCCAACTCAGCAGATGCAGCCCCAAATAACCCTGTTCTCCACAAGTTTCCAAACAGTTCCCAGTACAGCTACTCATATGGTAACAGAAAGCCAAAAGGAATCTGTGAGACAGTTAAAACACCAATGAGGTAACGGTTTTAAAAAATGGAATCATCAGGATGATGCACTGAGGGTGCCCTGAATGAGGGTGACATGCTTGCTTCACGCCTACCTCTTCTTTTTCTTTACAAGTGGTCTTTGAATTTTCTCTCTACACTCTCCACCCTTTTCTCCTTGGAAAAGGCCAATCCACTCTTAACCCCAGAGATGAAACCTCTGCCCAGCCAGTCAGGCCTGTGTGTTTCCACCTGGACATCCAAGTAGTGAGCCTGGAGCCACTTTACATGGACACATGTCTCAGTCTTTCAGGAACCACCTCACTCCAAGTGACCACGGGCAGACAGACGTCCACCTGGCAAGAGGCGATCATCAGTGGAACCATCAGGAACCAGGCTAACAGGCAGCAGATGTGAGGGCTGCCTATGGGCGGGTGCAGCTGCCGCCGTGGGCAATGAATGTCAGGTGCTGTGACCCCGGGAAGCCGGGGGACGGGGCTCTGGGAACCCCAGGCCCCAAGTTTTAGCATTTCTCCTACCCAGACCCCCCTTCTCTACGGTCTGAGGTTAAAACAAACACAAGCAGGCAGCAGTCTCTGGCATTTGAACCTTGTCCACACCGAAGCGATGGCAATGCCCCTTACTTATAACACAGCCCTTTTCTCTCTGCCACCCTGTGCTCCCCCCTCCCTGCACCAGCTCGTCCCACATCTCTGCTTGACAGCTTACACTTCCCCACCCTCATCTGAAATTTTTTATTTTTGGCCAATGATTTAGTGGCCCTTGTTGGTTTAGTTCCACATCATTAATGAACATTATGGTGAAAGGACAAATGACATACACAAAAGTTCTCCATCCTTCACAGTTGTGAAGGTATGTGACCAGGTATTCAGGAAGGTAGAGATTTAGAAATCTGGTATCTCAATCCAAAGGGCATTTCCTTAAGAATAAGGCATCTTACATGACAAGGGAGGCACTTTCAAGACTGGGATGGAAACAAAAAAACAAACAAAAGAAGAAGATCTAAAATATTAACGCTGAAGAAATATCTGTGTCAAAGGAGTAATGTCAATTATTTTCCCTCATGACCTAGGGCTTTGTAAGTCCCAGATAACTATGTTCTGCATAGCCATCTCTTATACCGCACGTAATTTACACCCCATAGTGCAAATCAATTAAGATGACAGTGCTGTTTTCAAAACAATGATAGAATAAAATTAAACTGCAAAAACCAAAAACAGTTGCCCATTTTGGCTGCTTAAGAAGTACTGATAACGATCTTTTATCTCTAGATTTCAAGTCACTCTAAGAGAGAAAGTGTATACACTTTGACATTCCCATACCGACTAGCAAAGAAAAGTCATTTAGGGAATGGACTCAAAACAAACTGCTCCACGCGCCCCCTGCTGGCTCTACAATAGCACTGATCTAATAAAACCTCACAGGATTTCATTAGGGATGTTCAGGCAAGAGGGGTATGTCAGAATCCGGAATGAGAGTATTTGCATATAGTAGCCCAGCCAGTAAGGGAATAGGTTAATTAGCCCACGGCAGCTCCAGGGAAGAAGAAAAAACAGCAGCATAAAAGTCCTTTCAAAGCCAAAATGTCAAACACATTCTGAAAGACGTCTATTAGCAATGCAAATGTAAAACTGTACGACCAAATGCATGAGACACAAAACTAGAAAACCCCGCTGAAGGTACTTTTTAAAAAAGAACTCAGCTTTAGTGAATTTGAAGAAGAATGCTGGCTTGCTCTTCAATAGTGCCTTGGTTTGTACACACTTTTATTTGAGAGACACTGGCTTAGTGGGCCCGGAAGATCTCAGTATAGACTTCGTGGCTGGTCTTCTGCTCATGGACCGCTAAGATATACTGGCCTTAACACATAAATCCAAATGTATTCTTCTGAAAAGCTGTCCACTGATAAACATCTTTTCCAGTTAAGACTAATGATAAATCAAAGATACAAAGATTAACTGGAGTGACCCGGGACCAGACTGATACAAATTTCAACTTATCCTCCTCTTAGATTTAGAAAGACCATGTCTCCTATTTACAAGTGCAGTTTAGAGGATTCGGGGCTCTTTGATTCCAGGGCATGTGGTCTCTTCTGTGTGTTTCATTAGCTCTCTGTACTATCTGTATCTCCCACCAGGGGAAAATCATTGTGAGGGTAGGGACTGTGCCTTGCTATATTTTCAGTGAACCACGAGAGGGCGCCACAGTACACCACCGTGTCTCTGGTACACTGGATGATAGTTCACGGGATTAAAAGAATTGAGAGGTAAATTATGAAGGTGAAAATACAGTAGGGAGAAGGACGGGAGAGAGAAAGACTAGGGAGAAGAGAAGAAAAAAGTGGAGCGGGATGTCTGCTTTCAGGGTCTCTTTCTAGCTGTAGACAAATGGCCACTGTGTCCCTAATTGTCATCTCAGCGCTGAAACACACCAGCGGCTCAGCAGGTCGCTGAGATCTCACCTCTGGGTGTACCTGCCACGACAGAAAGATTTCGTGGAAACATGGGGCCACATGTGGTTATAGAAATGCTGTTATCAAAGAGCCACATATGCAGAACGTATGTTTAAACATTATGATTAGGAAAAGGAAAGTGAACAGGAATTAATAAAAGCATCAAGACGAATTTATTTAGGGTTGGCTAAGTATGGTTTGCCTGATCATCACTGTTCTGAACACGTTCATCTTTAGCATCTTTATACCTACATTTCTCTCTCTCTCTCCATCAGTATTTGGAAATTTAGCTCAGTGACATAAGGCCTTGCTCTTCCAAGTGTGGTCCTCAGACCAGCTCCCCCAGTAGCTTTAGAAATGCAGAAGCTCAGGCCCCACCCAGACCTCCTGGTTCAGAGCCTGCATTTCAACAAAATCTCCAGATGACTCCTATGCACTGCGAGGTGTGAGACACTCAGCTTGTGCCCAGAAGCTCCTGAATAAAGCAAACATCTCTAGCCTCTTTCTAATGGAGCAGATGCTGGGAAACAAGCTAGATGCTGCCAGCAAACAGCACTGATGGAGCCTCCGACATAAGCAGCTAATACTCAGGTGGAACTCGGCGGCTGACTTTGGGGTCACCTTGGCCACCTAACGCAGTTCCAAGTAGCAGATGCTCCTTTCCTTCTGGTTCTTTCTACCTTCAAAAACTACGGGAAAACACACTTTAAAAAGACTATCATCATAAATTTTTATATGTGACTCAATCATCTCTAGGAAGAAAAACAAACTTTAAGGAAGCCCCATACATCTATCTTTGCTAGAATTCAGAAACCCCCGCCCTCCCATTACCGTGGATTCAAGATGGTTTCAGAAGTGATCCCCACGGACTCTGAGTCGTGTAAATAACAACCAACTGCTTTGAATGGAAGACATGCCCAGAATATGATAAAGAAAGTCTTAAAATGCATAAACCGGGTTGCTCTGACCAGCACCCTCCATCCTGTGAGTTCCTCAGCTTGAGTGAAACCCGTGACTGTGTGGCATGTATGTCTATGCACAGCAAAGGCATGATTTCAGTTTCAAAGAGGAGGAAACGCAGCCTGGTGAGCTTGGGTCAATTCTGGAAAAACCATACGACCACTGAGGAGACAGAACACCTGGACCTGGTGGGAGAGGTCACTAGGACACAGGAAGGATTCTTCAAGTCCTGACACGCAAATCTCTTGTTTTACTATGTTATTAAACAGGAAGACCTGTGTCGTGCAAGGGCAGAAGGCACTCCATTTACATTAAATATTAAAAAACAGGTGTGACCCTAACATCCTTGGGGTTTCCAGGATGGAGAAAGACAGGCTGGATGATAGGATAATTAGTTACCTTCATGGTTGACTGAACAAGCATGCCCCCAAAGAAAGTGGATCACATATTCATTCATCAAACACTTACTTTGTTTCCAGTACATACAGTGGACCTCAACTGTTCAATGTTAGTGTGGAGCAAATGGTATGCCAAAACTCTATTTTTAGTTCTATTCAACATTTTATTAGTATTTTGGTTATCATATTTAGAGGTAACAGAAAGCTGGAATGGAAGCTCCATGTATTACTGCAATTAATATCCAAAAATATCTTGAAAAGCTAGAAGTGAGGGCACAAAACCAAAAAAAAAAAAAAAAGAAATTAAGATTAGTAAGAATAAATATAAATGCCCTGCCCTGAGTTTCAATAGCTCAGTTAGTCTAGTAGCAGGGTTAGAGAGATTAGGCTTAAGTCAGATCAAAGAGCCTAGGAATTTTCTGTTTGACTATCCATTCAATATGAACCAACAGTCAGGTATGGTGCCTACAAGTT